ACTCTAGTTTCCTACTTTTAGGAGTGGGAGTTTTTGTCACATTTGTCAGTGCTGTTGAAATCTTCCCATTTGAGACCAAAATTATTATGGTTATTAAATGGATTTAATGCCCATGTTTTGTTTTCATGACAGGAATTCTGTGCTTTCAAAGTGACTTGCGGCGTCATAACTGGAGTTAGTACAAGATGACACTAAGTCTTAAGCTTTTGAACTGATTATAGGAATAACAAATGCTATTTGTAATGACGAAGCTAACTGATGTTTTTGAAAAAGAGTTATGTACCTATTTAATTTGTGTAAGACTGGAGTCTGAAAGCTCATCAGTCATTATTTTTTTGTGAATGGGTCTACAGTTTTGTCAATGGCTTTTATGTTGTGGTTATAATTTTTTTTTTCTTGGATCTATGGCATTATATTGCTTTTTTCCTCTCCCATGTTGTACTTTGCTCTGCTTGTGATTTGTTACAATGAAAAGTTTGAAGGAGCGATTGTGTCTTGACTTGATGGTCCTATTTTTATCTTTACGTACAGGGTTTTTCAAAAGGTGGTGAATTTTACAAAGTGTTTTTATTGAGTGAATAGAAAAATCAGTACGGTTTAGTGTATTTTGGGGGGGGGGTTTCTTTGGAATATTCCGCGCCTTTTTTTTTTTTGGCTTCAGCCTCAAAGTAGCTGGAACAGTGTAGTAACTAGTGTTAGGCTCTGGTCATCTTTTCACCCTTGCTAGGGGCTCAAAATGGGTCTTCCTTCGTTGTTGCTGATATTCTGGCAAGTTGTAATGTCATTGCACCCACAGACAGTGGTTGGCGGGTGCTCCAGTGTGGTTTGCTCCTTCTTTCCTATCAAAACATCTGTCGTCCTAATCTGTCCTCCTTCTCTTTTGTGTTTATTACTTTCTTTTAGCTCCTCTAATCTTTGACACTTATATGACCTGATTGTGTTGCAAGTGCAGTAAGTCTCTTACTAAAACTAAAGATAGTGTTTAGATTTACCTCTGTGTCCATGACTGTCTGTGGTGATATAGGCTGGTTCTTTGCCATTGCATGCAAAAGCCGTGATTTCAGTTCCTATGAGTGTTTGTGATGATATAGGATGGCTGTAAAAAGCAGAAGTCGTGAATTCAGTTCTCATGAGTGTCTGTGGGATATTAGGCTGGCTATAAAAAGCAAAAATCGTGATTTTTTAAAGCCATGAATTCAGTTTCTATGTGGGGAAGTACTGTTGTCCTAGACAAGTCACCCATAATTGTAATGGAGAAAAGTGGTTGTCTTGTCTTAGTAGACAGATAGTATTTTGGACATGTTCTGGACAGTCGTGTCATCATTATATTTTAAAAACCGCTCTACAGCAAGCTCTATGCGCTTTACAACTATATGTATTATTACCCCGGCAGACCCTAAGAGAACACTCAGATTTCAGAAATAATCTCGGTTTCTCGCGAAGCATACAGTGTAAGCTGCAGATCACATGTGCTGTGAGAAATGGCTGATGGCACTGGGATTGTCTTATACCTAGCGCCTGGCCTATTGGTACGATTGGTTCGGTTTGGTAGACCGGGCTAACCAGATTGAGGGCGAAAAGCGACCTTTGGGGAACAAACCGAATGCTTCCAAGGGTGACCCTAAAATAACAAATTAAATGCGTTTGTTTTCAAGGCCACGAGTCGGGCGCTCGGTTTGTGTTAGAGAATCAATCCCATTAATGGGCACTGGGTGGTAGTCTTAAACAGGTAGCCATTAGATCAGGTACTGCTGTATGTTTCTTCTAATTATCTGCCTGTCTGCAAGGATACCGCCTCCCGCTGTCGGCTTGGTTTTTGGCACACAGAGGTAGAGTGGAAGCAGCCAGTCTTCTAAATTATCTAAAATGTGTCGATAGGAGGGTAAAATATTTACAATCAGTGTCTTTAGACGCTTGGTAGGCATTACTTCTTTTCCTTTCCTCTTTGGTCTCTGTTTATCGCTCTGTTTCAGTTTTTCCCTGGGTGAAATGATGGATATTGTGTCGATGTGCTTCTCGTCACTCAAACTTGAATGTAAGGAGATACAAATAAATATGAATTGTCACACTTATAGACTGGACAAGATCGGAGAAAATGGACCGGCGTCTGTGGTGTAGCAGTTAGGTGCTTTGCTGTCACATGCAGGAGACCAGAGTTTGATTCCCAAGTGAGGAAAATTTTTATCACATTTCTGTCTTTCTCCAGGGATGTTGTATTCTTATCAGCCCGAGTTTGCCTTGACAGGCAGGGTCGTAAGCTTGCCTCCTAACCTAATATAAATTATCTTATTTGTGTCAATGGGGGCTTTAAAACACCTCCATTTCTTTTGTAAAGCGAAAGAAAATGGATACAGAGACCGGTTATTTGTGGTGTAGCGGTCAGGCTCTTTCTGCCGTAGTATGCAGAAGTTGTGATCCGAGTTTGATTCCTGTGTGTGGATGTTTTATTATATATATTGAGTAGCCCATCTCCATCTGTTTGCTGGGATGTTGTATCCTTTTTACCTTTTCAGCCCAGGTTGGCCCTGCCTATGATGAGGCAGGGTTGAAACATCCTGCCTCCTAAATGATCTAAATTGTGTTGGTAGGGGCATAACAATTAACTATTGCAATTTAAAAGACAGAACTGAATAGTTGAATACATGAATTTTGGAATAGTGTTTATTTTATCAATATCAAAAAGATACATATTGTGATTAACTTAAGTTGTAACCTGCAGGCAATTTTTTGATTACATGATTCTTTGAAGGGTACGATATAGTATGTACATACACATGTATAATGAGAGGAATAGATGTGTTACAGGTTGAAAAAATATAAATCACATAGGTACTGTGTTTGATGGGGGGCTGTAAGTTGAAAAATTGTTTTGAGGTCATTTTGAGGAAAATTGATGACAAGGCGTTGTCGTACTTGCCTTTGAGCGACGAATGAAACTGATTATTTTTCTTACTAAAAAAAAAAAAAAGTAAAAATCTAGACACCTTTTAATTTATCTTTTCATCAATTCTGTTGGCAGTAAAAATATGTATATATATTATATATATATATTTATAATAATAATAATCTTTATGAAAATGTAAGTTTGGTAAATTATGTATATAAATGTACAGTGTAGCTGAAATAAATTGACCAGTAAAAGAAATTAAATGGAATGTATGCGATCAAGCCCAACTACTATTTCTAAATGTAGTCATTCCTTTTTCTGACCGTGTTTATAATACATCTCAATTTTAGAAAGTAGTTATTGGCAGAGGAAGATATAAATGACTCCATTTACGTATACACGAAAAACTAACGCTTCCTCTTCTGTTGGGAGAATGTTTGTATTAAAGGAATGATTCAGAGGACAAAAAATAAGAGACGTTCATGGAGACCTTCAATCAAATATATTCATTTTGTTCGTTTCTATCTGCCTATAAAGTATGGATTGGGATCAAAAGTGTCATTATATTGCATTAACAGTAATGCAGTACAGATCACAATTTATTACTTGACTACTCCAAAGATCATGTATAACATAACAAGATTGTTCACTCAGCCAAAAAAATGTCTGCGGAAGTCTGGGCATGGCTTCAGATGGCGCTGCAGTCTGTTTTGAAGCTCTCTTTCATTTCTCCTGAATAAGAATGCACAGTTTGTTAGTTTCACTTGTTTTTTTACCCAAGTAGGGTAACTCTGTTCGCAAAGTTTGCGCCTTTTTGAAGAGAGTGCCGTCGAATTTTGAGGTCACTTTTTTAATTGGCTCAAAGAGAGGAGTGAACTATAATTATAATGTTGTTATACACGATCTTTGACCACCCTAAACTACCACTGACATTATAACTTGGTTCAATTTAGAGTTGAAGCAGATGTGGTTGAGGGCGGCTGTATTATCTTATTTCGTTCAAATTCTCACATAGTTGTGCTAAGAAACTGGGTTCAGTTCTTAAGTTTTCTTATAAAGTTGGATTATAATGTAAGTTACATATATGTCAACACACATACTGTACAAAAGAAAATGGAAGCATGGCCTACATCATAGATAGCATGAAAAATAATGCTCTGCATACTACAATTTTGTTTCAAATTAAGCCTGAATGAAATGGTAGAAAGCAACCCCCCCCCCCTTGTTCGATTCAATTCCACACTCAAAGAAAATGTTCAAATTTCAGCCCTTCAGACAGGGAGAATGTTTTTATCTAAATGCTAGGTTGAACTTTTTGCAAAACGTCTCAAGGCTTTCTTAAAATAGTTCTTTTTTCAGGGAAAGGGGGGCTTTTTACAAAGTACACGCAATAGCTGCTTTATTAACTTCTTTAAAAAAGGCTGTTATTCAGTATTCTTTATTTTTCTTTATTCCCTGCTCAGAAAAGCATAGATAGATACAGACGATCATAATAATAGGCAGAGCAGTGAGTTTTTTCCTTTGCCTTAACAACAATATGTTTACAAGCACCACAACCACTGAAAGAACAGAAACAAACCGCATTTCTTCTCTCAAACAATAACAATAAAGGGAATGCAATATTTTGGAATGTACATAAATCATGAAGGAAAAAAAAAATCTAGAAAACAATGGGAAGTGATTTCATACAAGAACATTCTTAGGGCAAAGACAACCTGTAGTACAATAACTTCTAAACATTCATACAAAAAAAAAAAAAAAAAAAGAAACTCCCAATTTGCCGACAGAGATTTCGGCATTCATTTCATCACACAGCCAAAACCTCTCACAACCCTCTTACAATGAGGTGAGAATGTGGAATATTTTTGTTTTTTTATACAACTGTAAGTTCCATTTAAAAAACGAAATAAAAACGAATCACAAGTGAGACTGTACTATGCAACAACAAAAAAAAGGCACAGTGTGAATAATTTTGTATTTTTTAGAAGCTCTCCTTCATCCTGGACTGCTTGTATACTAACTTTTCCACTGTACCGGAACGTATTATAAACACTGTTGTTGTTGTTGTTGTAGTTGTTGTTGTTGTTGCTGTTGTTTTTCTTCTTTTTTTTTTGTGGATCACTTTTGAATGAGGCAGGTGAATTTCTTTCCTGGTCACTACATCTATTCTTGATCACAGAGCTTTACCAGGCAAGAATTTGTCTCACAAATATGTATGTATATATATTATTATTATTATATAAATAAAGACATAACCTGTTTGAAACATCACAAATTTCTCAGTGAGAGAGCAGATGGCAACCAGTTTTATGACCAGGTCTCAAGTATGAATAACTTTTCTACTTAACTGGACTGCCTGTTTAAATGCCGCTTGGAACAAATAAAAACAGAAACAAAACTCACAATGTCCAAACTTCAGTAGATGTTCATAAGCTCAGGTATCAAAATGATCTATAAAACTGCTCAGATCTTTCCTTGTAATCAGGTGTAAATTTCCAATAACATTTTTATAAAACCTTGAGATCCACAATTAAAAGTGTGTAACAAAACCATTCTTCATATTGTGGTCAAAACTGTACTATGATTTATGATAACAACAGAATTTAAGATTCAGAAACATGCATAGAAATCTTTTTAAAGGCAGTCGAGTCATCTTTTAAACGGCAGCAGTTTACACGAGACGAGAGTGGTTTTTGCATCTCAACAGTTAGTCTAAGAAGTCTGTCAGACAATCACCGGCTGTGCTTGTCTTATATAATAGTAATAGTAGGACTGATGGCATTTAGACTGGCAAAACCTTTTTTTGGATTTAGTATTCTCCTTTTTTATAGTATTCTCTAGTTCTTACAAAATTGAGAATTAATTTTGGCCTACAATACATTCTTTTTTATAGTGTTCTCTAGCACTTACAAAATTGAAAATTAACTTTGGTCTAAAACTTCTTTTTTTAAATAGTATTCTCTATAGCTTGTACAAAATTGAGAATCAAGTTTGGTCTAAATGTTCCTTTTTATAGTATTCTCTAGCTCTTCTTAAAAAATTGAGAATAGAGTTTGGCCTAAATATTCTTTATCAATAACGGTGCTTGCCAACCTGGACAATATCACCCACTAGTGAGCGATGTGTTAATTCTGGTGGGTGGTGGGGATCACCTGAGTAGTTAGTGACAGGTATTATTTAATTATGTCCCACTTGGTGGTAGGAAAATTTTTGCCTCTTTAGGGTGACAAAAGTAGGCGCTGGCTATAAGAAAGTTGACAAGCTCTCGTATTTAATTAATGTCTTCTTTCAGAGGTTGACTTGAAATAATGTGACACGCTGAATAAAGATTAGAGTTATAGTTGGCTATTCTGATTTTTTTTTAAACCCACCCATTGTCACATTTTACTTTTTATTCTTTTTTGCTCTTCAAAAACTGACACCACCAAGCTCTTTAAATAATGGTAGCAATCTACTAAGGGTATCAGAAAAAAATTTAATGGTCCTGCTATTTGTTAGAGTTAGTTGTTATTTTCCCTTGTCAAAGAAAGAATTTCCTAACATTTCTCCTTCTTTTCACATGCATGGGATCCTGTTTACACCTTTTAGATTTTAATCTATTTGCTGTATTTCTTTCTTTTTATATTACAGAAATAGAGTGAAAGCAGAAATAATTTTTATTTAATTTATTCACTGTTTTTCGTTCTTTCTTTCTTTCTTTCTTTTTTTTCTTTCTTTCTTTATTGTTTTTTATTCAACAAATCTAAAATGTTAAAACGGGAGGAAATTTCATGTAGGCTGAGGCCTACTTTTTTTTTCCTTCTTTTTTCTCGACAAGGTGATGAGTCAGCTGTTGTTAGTTTGACCCACTTTCACAACAACTCAACATTAAAATTCTTCATTTTAATTTAGCTGTCAATCTCCTGCCAGTGCCACATATCCTTGTTGGGCTCTCCGTAGCCGATGGTCGGGTAGCCCCTGGCGTACATATCCGGAGCCATGGGGCTCAGGTAGGCGCGGGGGTAGCCATAGGTCTTGTTCAAGTACGGGTCGGAGCCTACAGCGTACACGGGCTCCATAGCGATGGGGAAATCGCGTCCACGACCTTTCTCCAGGATCTCACGGTCTTCGTAGCGCTCGCTGGTGATGTAGCAGCCGGCCAGGGAGTACAGAGTGGCGGTCAGGGCGGCGAGAATCATACCCACCCAGCCCAGGGCGTAGGACCAACCGTATTGGCGGTCTGTGTTTTCTTTCAAAGTCTGTGAAAATGGTGTAACAAATAATAGGGTGTTACAATAGTAATATCAGCTGTCAAAGAAAAACCAAATTGGTTTATGTGTAGCCTACATAGATCTAGACCTCTTTATCAAAGAAGTTTTGTTTTTCTCCTCTTTATCTTTCTTTCCTTTTTTTTGGTACGTGTTCTACGGCGCTCGCAACTGCATAAGGTCTGCCAAAGGAGTTCGCTGGCTTTGTGTCGATATGATGAGCATTTTTGTTTTTGGTTCACAGGTGCCCCTATCAACACTATTAGGTTATTTAAGAGGCGGTACCTCCAAGTTTAAAGTCCGTCTCCGAAAACGCCGAGCCAAGTGGGAAAATTCATGAGAAGTGCCTTTACCAAGGACACAACGTCGGACCGAGCTGAGTCTCGATCGCCCGAATCCGCAATACATGTATCACGAATTACGAGTCCGGTAGCCTGACTACTAGACCATCACGCTACTCAAACCCAAACTGTGTCAGAGTCGGAGACATTATTCATTCATGATAAGGTCATGAGAAAATATTAAAGTTTGAAATTTGTCTTTTGTGATCTTTATTAAGAGTCTGTCTGTCTGTCTGTCTGTCTGTCTGTCTGTCTGTCTGTCTGTCTGTCTGTCTGTCTGTCTGTCTGTCTGCCTGTCTGTCTGTCTGTCTGTAT